AGGATGCACCTGGGTCTTACCAACAGTAAAGAGGCGTATCACATGTTCCAACGGGATGAAGAAACTGCATTAATAGAGACCAAATACGAAAAGGACAATGAGCTGAAGTTCTCAAGCCATTGTGAGAAGAAGGTGAATCAAGCAACCAAACTAGTAGGTCTTATAAGAAGGTCATTCAGGTATCTAAACGATCCGTCCCTTGTAATGATTTTCAAGAGTGAGGTGTTTACCCGCCTGGAGTAGTCACCTCGTCTGGTTCCCGAGATATGCAAGAGACTGTCAGTTGATTGAAAATTTCCAAAGGAGGGACACCAGACTGGTGCCTGAATTTCAGCACCTCGGTTATCCAGAAAGATTAGAGCACCTGCAACTGCCTATCTTATACTACAGATGGGTAAGGGGGGACCTAATTGAGGTGTATAAACATCTCAGGGGGCACTACTCAGTCATTTGTCCATACCTGAAGCTGGTGGACACCCACCCCACAAGGGATCACAGTTCAAGGCTGAAGAAGCCACAAGTCCAGAAAACTGTGAGGAGTAACTTTGTCGGAGTGAGAGTTGTGAACTCTTGGAACAATCTACCAGAGAGTGTTGTGACGGCACCGAGTGTGAGCTCTTTCAAGACCAGACTTGACCAACACTGAAGCAGGTTCAGGTACATTCAGGAGCCGGTGCATGCCCAGTACTTGCCAACAGTGTGTAACAGAGACATGACCGACCGCCCAGGCGGCTAACAATCCGATCGGTGGTAAAAAGGATAAAAGTCAAAATTTTGTCCTGCATGTAGTGAAACACTTGCCTTCTGACAAAACAGTATTTATTCTTTTATATTATTTATTATTACAGCATAGTCTGGTTTTACGCGGTTAATTAAACCCATGAAGGTCCGCATATAAAGCTAAACGCGTAAATAAGTTAACAGAACATATGGGATTAATTGAAATAGAGACTGAGCCGACCATCAGACTACCCTTTTTTTGGCTATCGCCGACACAATACTGTACATTGTAGTAACAATAACATCTTAATTTTATGATGGTATGCACACAATTAATATACTTGTATAAGAGAAATATCACTTACATTAGTAGAAGAGATGGCTGGGGATGGGGGATTGGTTCCAAGGCAGAGGGCAGATTATTGGCCCTCACCTGTATCTCTATCCACCACAGAGGCTAGCAGGGCCTCCTTGTCAAACCCCTCGAAGTCCATATCCTCACTATCACTGACTTGGGCTGGCTGTGGTGGGTGAAGAACTCGGTGATGTTTTGTTGACGGCTAGCATTGATGTGGTCGTGATACTGCTGAACATCCTGGCATTTCAACAGATGGTTATTCGACACTTCGCAGCGATGATTGACTGGGTCTTTGGCAAGGAGTTTCATTCTCACAGCTAACTCGATGATTTCCTTCACATCAGCATGTGTTAGTTTCTGCTCTTGTTGTTCTGTAACGCCTCGCTGCTCACTGACGTCATCATCTTCCAACATCTCGTCGGCAGTCACCTCAGGTTGCCTGATTACCTCCAGGATGTCCTCATTGGTGGTCTCGGAGAAGCCTGCACCTCTAACACTTTGTGCAGCCTCTCTTGCATTCTCCAATGCCACAGCAACAGACTGAACCTCGCCAGCCACCGCTTGTCTCTGCCTCCCACCTGGGATACTCTCCAACACATGCCGCCACGCGTGCCGAATCGTTGCCACAGACAGCTGCCCCCATGCCTCCACCAAGAAATCAACAGCCTTCTTCACGTTAAACAGTTTGCAGAACTGCTTGACCCGCACTTCATGGTCCGCCAAATCTTGTTCGTGTTCCTTGTCCTCGCTATCGGTGCCACACTCTAGGTTCTGCAGTTCATCCTTGGTGTTGGTGAAGTCGTTCAGGAGCCAAAATTTCTTGGCGGAGAAAGTAGCCTTCACGTTGCAAATCAACTCCTGATCCATGGGCTGGATTAACGACGTAGTGTTAGCGGGAAGGAAGACCACTTTTACGTTGGGTAACAATCCAGCTAAAGGGTCAAGTGTCCTGGTGCGTTGTCAAGAAGCAACAAAATGTTGAATGGCACATTATTTTCCACACAGAATTTCTTGATATCAGGAACGAGACAGTTGTCAAACCAGGTGAGGGACAGACCAGAGAACATCCACGCCTTCCCTGAGGTTAGCCAGTGGGCATTTAACTTGCTCATGTCCATATTCTTGTAGGCATGCAGCTTGCGGGCTTTGTGGATCACAGACAACTTCAGCTTAGCAGTGCCGGAGGCGTTGGTGGTCAACAGTACGGTGATGCGCTCCTTCTGCATTTTGCGCCCCAGACACTTTTTAGCAGACGTGACTACGAAGGTCTTGGATGGCAATTTCTTCCAGTACAACCCTGATTCATCCATATTGAACACTTGGTCTTCGGTGTACTGTCCTTCCTCCATAATTTTCCGTAAAAATGGGGGAAATTTCATGGCGGCAGCCCGGTCGGCACTTGCTTCTTCTCCGACTATCTCAATATTTGTGATCTTGTTGCGTCGTCTAAAACCTTGCAGCTACCCAGCGGAAGTACTGAAGGGCTTGGGCTCTGCAACCCCCATTTTTCTTGCTACTGCATCATAGAGTTCTCGAGCATAGTTCTGCAGGGCCCCGAGTGTCGACCGCTATGTTCCTCATTGATTGATGAATAATGTAGCTTACCAACAAACTCTCGGTCTTCAGCAGCACCTTATTGTGGCAATATTTCACTAGCGAGGCACCTACAGACTTGGTAATGTTCATGTGTTCATTTATTTTGCCGGCATCCTTCTTGATCGTGCAGATCCATCGATTCATTCACTCCATATTGTCTGGCCAGATCCACCTGCCTCTTGCCTTTTTCTAACTCCTGAACGATCTTGTACTTAACCTCATAGCTTAAGGCGCGTCGCACCTTCTTGGGCTTGGGCCAGGAAGTTCAGGGTTTCTCAGGGGTGGTTGTGGATCCAGCGGAACCATTGTGTAGAACTAAAAAAACACTGGTGAATATACACGGGGACAGTCAGACTGGCGCATCGATGGTCAAGGGCGAGGGTGGCAGAGGGTGGCAAGGTCAAATAGACCAATCACAGCGCGTGGGGGAGGGGGTGCGTGGGTGGTAAGGTTACGTGGCCCAATCACAGTCTGCGACGTCAGCGCCCAGCACCTTGCCCCCACTGCTTGCCGCGTATATGATGGCATTTACCGCGTAAATAATAATTATCGCTTCTGGACAGGTGCCACGTAAATAACCATCCGCGTATAAAATATCCGCGTAAACCCAGACTACAGTATACTGTATATTCTATTTATTCCTATTATTTACTAGTACAGTATATACACAACACAGTTCAGCTAGGCCATCACCAAGCTGACTCAAGAGACGAGTGTGGCTGCTGTAATAAATGTGTTTATTATATATTTCTTTTATATTTTCTTATTTTTTATTTCTCTATTTATTTACTTACTTTTACTCTTTCTTTATTCTCTGTTAATATCTTTTCCAGTGGCGTAGCTAGGGTGTGTGCCGCCCGGGGCGGCCCTTGAGTTTGCCCCCCCCGTGCCCCCACAAAAAGATACATATTGCACAGTGACTCACTCTTATATATATATATATATATATATATATATATATATATATATATATATATATATATATATATATATATATATATATATATATATATATATATATATATATATATATATATATATATATATATATATATATATATATATATATATATATATATATATATATATATATATATATATATATATATATATATATATATATATATATGAATAGTTTGTGTACCATTATAATATTACTGTACTTTCACATACTCAAATATAGTATGCTTTAAATACACACCAAACATACTTAAACTTTATAAGTAACAGTTAAACAAAAAGCAAAAACGACATATAGGATAGGGAAAAAAGTAAAAAAAGTGTAAAAAATTAGGACCATCTTTATTTCTGAAATGAAAACTACAACTTTCTACAAAGTAACTTTTCTTGTTTTTTTGTTGGCAAATTCTTCAATGACATTGTCAAAAACTATTTCATCTGTCAATTGTCGCTCTATAGACAGTATGGCAAGATTTCTCAACCGCAAGGTGCTCATAGTAGATCTTAAGTAATTCTTGATTAGTTTTAGTTTCGAAAAACTCCTCTCACAGGTAGCAACACTAACAGCAATTGTGAGGAAAATCCTCAGCATTATTACTATATTTGGAACCGAGTTCCCAAGGTTATACTTTTGAATAAACTGCAAAAGTTCAAGGGGGCCTTCTTTCCACGTCTGTATTCTGTCTTTAATAGTTATAGCAGCAACAGCAACAAAATGCTGAAGTCTTTTTCTCTCAACGAGGAACTCCTCTTTATCAATGTCGTCGTGATCGTGATCTATTTGACACTCATATTTATCATCCAAAAGATTCAATGGGTTAAGGAAGGCATATTTCTCAGCAAGTTCATGAAGCTGTGTTAATCTCAAAGTTATTTCTTGGATCACTCTGTCCAACGAAGAAAACATTCTCCTCAATTCAATGTCGTATGGCAATTCAGCATCTCGTGATCCTTCACCAAACATATGTTTCTTCTTTTTGGGTCGACGCCGATACAAAGGGATGCATTAACATCTCCAGTAGCTGCAGATATGGGTGATGAGCAGACCCAAAAGTGCCGCCCCCCCCCTAGCTACGCTAGTGATCTTTTCTTAATCTTTTACTCTTACTCTTTATTTTGACAAGTGAAGGAGGGAGGACTATGGAATGTAAGAAGGGAGGAGCTTGGGTAGTCACTCCTTATGGTAAACCTTTCCCCACACTGAGGGAAAGTAGGAAGGAGGGAATAGCTTGCGATAATCGAGACACTAAGAGGACTCTGGGGATAGTTATGTTATTACTAATGGGTTACTGTATCACTGCATAAAACCAAAGACATGTATGACGAATATTTTACTCAATACAAAGAGGGGGAATTTATGACACTCTTTAACGGTTCTTCATTTATTGAACACATTCTATTAGTTTTGACAATTACACTTCAAAACAATAAACCTGTTTTCTTAGCTAGTTAAACAGGGGTCACATGAAAAAGACGATAAAACCTGAAGAGAAGCTTCCGGCTGATGCACAAAATTCGTTTATAATTGATCAATCAATATTAATTTTCTGTCAGTAATTTAGGATACCGGATACGGTGTTGCTATACCTCTGAATCAGTTCTGCGTAATCCCTGATACACCTAATTTTCCCCCTGTATTTTTATAAATTTTCAGAATCCTACTCATTCATACCTTCTTGCTAGATTAGGTTGAAATTCATGTGGAGTATAGTTAATTCACTCCTCTTGAACGTGACATATAGATATTTCTGATTGTCACTTTTGTTTTGGATGCATGAATTTTTTTTCCTAACTTACCATTTTTCATCCAAATATTTAAAATATGAATCAGCAAATAATAATCCAAGCCAAATATAAAGAAAATCTGTATGTTCAGTCATGCACAATATGTTATTCTAAATGGCCAAGCCTTAGAGATTTGAAGGTTAGAAGAACTTGTTCTGAGATACGCGCCGATAGGGTGGTACGGGAGAGACAGGCAGTCAAACCTCACTCACTTCTTTTGTTGGTAACTGTGTGTAAGACTCTGGTCCTGTTGTTAGCTAGCTGAGAAAGGTGCTAGATACTGATTTTTACTAAGTGGTTGGTATCACTTTACACCAATATATTACTATAAATACTTTTCTACAGCTTTTGCTACATAAACAGAATGGCCCTCTAAATGAAGGGGGGTAGAACAATCATGCATAGCTACATAAATATTTCGAATTACACAATCAAAATACATCAGCAGATAGCCATAGGCAACAGCTTTTCTCAGGAATTTTTCTGAATATTTTAGTCATTTTCCGATTTTCATCAGAATTTCAGCCGGATGCTTCCCTTAAGGGTACTTACTTAAATATATATATATATATCGCCATGCTGCTAAAAAACCTGCCGACCCATACACATCTACACTTCACCACCTCTAACCAGACTCTGCATTTTAAAATTGAGCTGGGCACTACACTCTAGCTTCCAGCCAATCAGCATAATTATGCCTATGACATCACATTCACAGGTCACTGTGATTGGCTCATGTTTCAGGCATCTCAGGCACTTATGGCTGTAGCGGGAACACTGTCTTGTGGGGCATTATGGCGGGTAATCATTGTCTAAATTGGATTTTCATACCTATTTCCTCTAAAACCCTGACACAATTTACTCTAAAAACATGGCACTGTTACACTGCAGCCTGTATGCCGTGACATCACATAGAGGGGAGGGAGAGTGCGGCTGGCTGTAGTTACAGCTCTCATACATACATTCACTTCCCACACATACACTCATGCTCTTAATTTTTCTTATTTTATAGTTTTATTTCATAGATTGTTTATTTCTAAGTTACATTAGAATATTGTAATGATGCACTCTTGGAGCACAGAATCCCCAGTTTTCCAACTTTCCTCCTTAGTTTTTCCCATTGAGTAATTAAGATTTTTATTCACATATGCACACACAAATTGGTTATTGATATTTTTATTTTGAAAATTTCTAACTGATATAACCGAATACAGTACAGTAAATCTCCAGTATATAATGGAATAATTGTGGGGAAAGCCGGTCCATTAAAGCCGAAAATCTATATCCTGATCCGGAATATTTACAGACTCGGTCTGTTATATACCAACATACTGTATAGTGCACCCTCATTTATCGAGGATTTTTATATGAAATATAACTTCATTGTTCTGATTGGCATCGTAGAAACAGAACGGCGTGTCGATGGTGGTACACTCGGACATGAATTCAATGGAGCCGCCCGGATCTGCTGAGACGTCGCAGATGGCCAACATTCTGTGAGGTAGTGAAGGAGAACCCATCTGAGGGGGGGGGAGGGGGTGTATTAATGAGAGGTTATTGTAAAGTTCGCTCAGTGGGACAAACAGTCAGTCGCTTAATCCCTGACAGTCATAAAGTAATACAGTTTGTCTTGTTATCAGTCAACCAGTCAGTCAGTTGCTTTGTTTGAGAGAGAAAACTTAATCCCTGACAGTCATACAGTCACTGAAATAGTCTCCTAACATGGCTTAACCTCGATCACTGGGATATATTAATTTCTTTGGACCTGTAAAACTCTTTCACTCAAACCCAATACAGTGCTTTAGTTCCTTTACCCTTTCTTAATCCATTTGGTCTTCACTTAACTAAATTTATATTGTATATTTTATTCTACTTAATAAAACTTTGCAGATAAGACTTGTTCTTCTAACCTGTTTTTTAGGTCATATAATAATTGTTTTAGTTATATATTTTACTCCAACGTACCGAGGCTGGCAGCCAGGGGGTATACACTGGCTGTAGAAGGTACTTGGCGTCGGGGATGGTCAGCAGCTTAGGGGAATTAACGGCCCAGTATATTCCATTGATGATGACCGAGGCGTACGGCGCCACCTGTAACATACGACGCTACTTAACTCTTTGTGAGTTAGACGATGAATTTATGAATAAAGAAGCCAAAATTATGAGTTAAATACAAAGATCTTATGAGAAGAAGAACTCATGAGACAGACTTTATGAGGAAGAAAACTAAGCTAACCAAACATTTGTCCCAAGTCAATAAACGGACCTTGTGAGCAAAGACAGAAATGTAGCGCTCCGGGTGTTCCTCGTATTCCACCGCGTCATATTTACCGCCGTCCTTCCTCACCAGATGGTCCCGACGACTGACCTCACACACGTACACCTTGTTTGTGGCTGTTGGGGAGAAAGACGCTAAGCTCTGACCACAAATCATATCCAACAATAAATTATAAAACTCTTATAAAATACTCAATATATCTTTTAAAAATTAATGTACTGTACAGTATTATGACTTACATCCATGTTCTGCCACTTTCTTGAGGGCCTTGACGGTGACATACTCGTGTGGCAGTTCTTGCACTATTTCCTGCGCTCCCTGAGACACGTTGCCCGTACCCGTGAATATAAACGTCAGAGGCCCGATGGATTTGGGCATCATCCCCAGCGAGACCTCGTAACCTGTGTCGCGAATAGATTGTCTGGCCATTTCCGTATTGTGGTAATTGTGGGCCGGACCGATGTGCTGCGAGGAAGATGGCGGCAAAAAATACGATAAAATGCAAACGTCGTCGAGTAAGGACGGGAGAGTTTAACAAGGAGATACTTTAGGCTAAGTTAACAAACAAAGATTAACACGAGTTTAGGTTAGGTGGGTAAAAGCTGGGGTGTGTTATACACGGCACAAGTTGGACCCACAAGTAACAATTTAAATATAATAATAACAAAGACTGACTGACTCACCATAAAGGGTGTGTGGTGACCAAGAGCCAACAGACGAAGACCAAGACCATTGAGAATGTTTATCATGCCGGCCACTCCAGCATACTTCCCAAATGCCACAACGCGCTGGCCTTGTTCGTCACACATCCGCTTGTAGTCCAACAGCCGGATGTTCTGTGGATGACAAGACGATGTGGATTATGTGGACGATATTAATTATATTACATGTCAGGATTAGTAATTACAGTACTACACTAATCCCTTGTTAAAATTATAGTTATTACTACACTTCAATAAAACTCACTTCTACTAATAATTATACAGTGTATTTAACACCTTCACTACAGGGACGCTAAGGCAGATTTTATTCAGCTCAGAGGTGACCCCATACACAAGGTGTTAGTAGACTATCACCACTAACACCTTCACTACAGGGACGACACTTTTAATATTAACAACAGATGATTTTATTCAGCTCAGAGGTGACCCCATACACAAGGTGTTAGTAGACTATCACCACTAACACCTTCACTACAGGGACGACACTTTTAACAATAATAACACAATATATTAATGCATATTTTGTTAAATACTGTACCAATAATAAGTCTGTTCTTAAGACCAAACGTTCCTTACCTTCTCCAAAATAGCTTCAAGAAGTGGCATATTAGCCTCTTGAGCCTTAATGGTGTGTGAGAAGAAGCAGTACGTTCTGTTAGGGATGAGTTGGTCGATGGGGACATGTTTCACCCCAATAATGACAGGAGCCTCCGAGAGGTCTTCCTGTATCTTGGCCCCAACGTTCTGGTATGCCTGTAACATATAAGGTATCTCTCAACAACAACATTTCCCGGTAACCAGACGACTCTCTCAAAGCCAGAAGTAACTGCCCCATCCCCGGAATATTCCGGATATTGGAAAAATTGTCTTGGAATTTTCCAGAAAATGAGCCCCTCTGAAAATCGTTTCCAAAGCCGAAATTTTCCGAAAAATTCCGGCTTTGGGAACGATTTTCTGAGGAAATTTTAATTCTGCCTATCAGAGAGTTCCGGGTTTGAGGGACTCCGGCTAATGGAAACATTATGCCTGTAAGATAAATACTGTAAAACCTGAAAGATAAATACAGTATAAAGTTACTGTACAGTATTGTCATGTAAGATACAGTTTTTGTTATGTAATCCTATATGGTAGCAAGATACTGTAGTTACGTATTGTAATGTACTATGCTCCTCTACTTATCAACGAGTTACGTTCCTGAGGCTTGTTTGTAAATCCAATTGGATATTTAGTCCAGCTATACCCTTTGATACAGCCTTAAAACCTGGCTCACTCTTCTCCTCTTAGGTAATGTTTGTTCTATCTGGAATTTTCTTCAAAATAATCCAGTCTCATCCACATTAAACACCTGTTCTGGCAGGTAACCCCCCTCATTGATGATGTTTGTATCTCTGAAAGTTTGTAAGTTGAACGTTCTTAAGTAGAGGAGCACCTGTAATATATAGTCAATCCTGTATTCTGATAAGCTTAAAAATACAGTTACAGTAACTATGTTTTCATCCTGTATTGTAAGAATCATGTAAAATACAGATATATTATAGATATTTGAAATCATTTTACTGTAACATTAAAGAACAATTATAAACTGTACTTCAGATTTTGTGTTGAGAATTGGCAAGTACTTTGACAGGTTGAAATAACCATCTGAGGGCTGTATACAGTAGACCCTTGTTATTCACGAGGGAAAGGTTCCAAGAAATGACGCCAAGAGGCAAAACAGTGAATAGCGACCTACACTACTTACCTTAGTGCAGTACTGCATACCAAACAACCACAGCAGCATCATCTCCTCTGTTAACTTTCTTTGTCATCAATGTCTTCTGCCTTTTACATTTCACCCCACTAGCATCACTAGCACTAGGCAGCCATTTAAAGGCCATTTGACACAGAAACACTAAAGTTTTAAGAGTACAACCCGAGATGCTGCATCACATACAGTGGCTGGGTGTGAACAGAGGGGGAAGACTCTACAGGCTCATGGGGTGACTCATTGTGTTGTGGGAAATGGCTCCCTAGCTAGCCACCATCTTCTTTGTAACAATCATCTAAATTGTGAATTGCAAACTGGTGAACGACAAGGGTCTACTGTACTGTACTTCTCTACACATACTGTACACTATTACATATTATATTGTTTAGTACAAATCTTGAGTACAAATATTAGCCAAGTTATATAGTGTACTGTAAAGTATATCTCACCTGCATGGGGTAAGCTCTGCGATTAGACGGCTGTACAATGACCCTGACCCCATCCTTGACCAGTTGCTTCACCTGGGATGGGCCAAGAAGAGCCCTTCTCTCCCACACACTCTGGTCCTCTCGACGAATGCCCAGAACTCTGCCTCGAACATTTCTCTACAAAATGGGGATTAAACATCACTTATACATTGAATATTTACCTATTTAACCCTATACATACACCACGCACCCTATACATACACCACGCACCCTATACGGACACCACGCACCCTATACATACACCACACACCCTATACATACACCACACACCCTATACATACACCACACACCCTATACATACACCACGCACCCTATACGTACACCACACACCCTATACATACACCACGCACCCTATACGTACACCACACACCCTATACATACACCACGCACCCTATACAGTGACCCCTCGTTTAACGAACACCTCGGTTAACGTAATTTCGATTAACGAACTGCCTTCCATAAGGATCTTCAATTCCGTTAACGAAAAAAATTCGATTAACGAAGTTCTTACGTAACCGACCTCAACATGTTTTCGCTTGCACTGAGCAGGCAACCAGCTTTAGTATCAGTCCGCCAATACATTAATCGGATCTAGGGCTTAAATTCCTTACTATTTTAGTAAATATCAAGAAGTTTATACTATTCAATAATTTTAAAGTTTAATATTCAATTTTTAGTCATTTTAACAATTATTGAACATAATTGAAGGTAAAGTGACTAGTTTAATGCGCGGCATCCAGCCTCTTAACACAGCAAACAGGAGTTACTGTCTCTCTCTGTTTTCACTGGAGGTAACATCTTGCTTGAGACTCTCTTCAACTAAACGCTTTTTTCTGTGTTTCCAAGCAAATTATTGGTCATTTTGAAATATATTTTACATATTGACAATATATAATGCAGTGCAGTGTTGATTTAAAGAAAATAATCTTGAATTACACCAAGAGAGCTAAAATTTTATGGGTGAAATGGCGCCATGGGGTGACTTCTCTTCCACCCCAATGCCTTCTCTTCTTCCTTCTCCTCCACCCCCATTCTAAATCCCATCATCATCATCATCCAGGAGCCTTCTACATACACACCTCAAAGTAAGTGAACTTTTCTACCATTTTTGTTGAATTTAGGAAATTTTCGGTGAGCTGGAACCAATTACCCAACAACCCATTGAAACAATGGTTTCACTTAACGAACTTTTCGGTTAACGAACGACCTTCTGGAACGGATTGAGTTCGTTAACGGAGGGGTCACTGTACATACACCACGCACCCTATACATACACCACACACCCTATACATACACCACGCACCCTATACATACACCACACACCCTATACATACACCACGCACCCTATACATACACCACGCACCCTATACATACACCACGCACCCTATACATACACCACGCACCCTATACATACACCACGCACCCTATACATATACATACACCACGCACCTATACATACACCACACACCCTATACATACACACACCCTATACATACACCACACACCCTATACATACACCACACCCTATACATACACCACTATACACACACACCCTACACACACCTATACATACCACACCCTATACATACACACACACACCCTATACATACACCACGCACCCTATACATACACCACGCACCCTATACATACACCACACACCCTATACATACACCACGCACCCTATACATACACCACACACCCTATACATACACCACACACCCTATACATACACCACACACCCTATACATACACCACACACCCTATACATACACCACACACCCTATACATACACCACACACCCTATACATACACCACACATCTCTGCTGCACTTGTCAGCCGCGGTAATATCTACCTCTGCACAGTACTCACACTGATCCAGCGTCTAGCATGGCAGGAGAGGAGAGGTGAACACCGCACTAAGAACGGTGCCGCTCTTATCACCCGGGACATAACACCTGAAAAACACCACAAAATTAACATCTTACATCACAAACTAACGTAAAAAACTAATATACATCGAAAATTAACATCACAGATCAAAATTCACCAACCTACAGTAGGTCTATTTAATTACTGTAGTAGGCAGGTACCAAACAGGAGGTACTGGGAAGGTATTGGAAGCATAATGTGTTGTCTAATGGGAGACCCTGCTGTCATATGTGACCAAGTCCCAGGTTGATGATCTGACTTTCTGCCTCATTTACACACAATTGCAGGGTCTCAATTGTTTCTCTTACAACACAACATACATAATGTATATTGTTTCTCAATCATAATTTATTTTTTTCATAATTTATTTTTTTCATTTTTGTATTATTATTATTATTATATATATATATATATATATATATATATATATATATATATATATATATATATATATATATATATATATATATATATCTTGATAAAATCACACGGGAAGATGGAAACAACGGAGTACCTTAGCTTTTTTTATTCAAGACATCTTCACGCTGCCATTGTGGATTTACATGAAATATATATATATATATATATATATATATATATATATATATATATATATATATATATATATATATATATATATATATATATATATATATATATATATATATATATATATATATATATATATATATATATATATATATATATAATTTTTTTTTTTTTTTTTTTTTTTTTTTATTGGGCACCCCCACATCCTGTGTAAGGTGAAGATTTACAGCGGCCAACAGGAAAGCATGCTAAGTTCATGCTTGCCTCTTATGTCTCAGGAGTTGGAGTGGGTCAGTACCCTGGTCATTATGTCCCACGAGTTAAGGGCCTGATGTGGGTCAGTGCCCTGGTCATTATGTCCCACGAGTTAGGGCCTGATGTGGGTCAGCTGGTTATGTCAGGGCCTGATGGGTCAGTGCCCTGGTCAGTATGTCCCACGAGTTAAGGGCCTGATGTGGGTCAGTACCCTGGTCAGTATGTCCCACGAGTTAAGGGCCTGATGTGGGTCAGTGCCCTGGTCATTATGTCCCACGAGTTAAGGGCCTGATGTGGGTCAGTGCCCTGGTCATTATGTCCCACGAGTTAAGGGCCTGATGTGGGTCAGTGCCCTGGTCAGTATGTCCCACGAGTTAAGGGCCTGATGTGGGTCAGTGCCCTGGTCAGTATGTCCCACGAGTTAAGGGCCTGATGTGGGTCAGTGCCCTGAGTCATTATGTCCCACGAGTTAAGGGCCTGATGTGGGTCAGTGCCCTGGTCATTATGTCCCACGAGTTAAGGGCCTGATGTGGGTCAGTGCCCTGGTCATTATGTCCCACGAGTTAAGGGCCTGATGTGGGTCAGTGCCCTGGTCATTATGTCCCACGAGTTAAGGGGCCTGATGTGGGTCAGTGCCCCTGGGCTGGTGTCTCCACGAGTTAAGGCCTGATGTGGGCCAGTGCCCTGGTCATTATGTCCCACGAGTTAAGGGCCTGATGTGGGTCAGTGCCTGGGCCAGTATGTCCCACGAGCATGGGCCTGATGTGGGTCAGTGCTCCTGGCCACATGTCCCACGAGTTAAGGGCATTCGAAGGTTCGGTGCTTGTAGGGAATCCTACAACCTCTCGTGTAGTAGTCTCGCCAAAAATTAGGATAATTTTAAATACTGTATATATATATATATATATATATATATATATATATATATATATATATATATATATATATATATATATATATATATATATATATATATATATATATATATATATATATATATATATATATATATATATATATATATATATATATATATATATATATATATATATATATATATATATATATATATATATATATATATATATATATATATATATATATATATATATATATATATATATATATATATATATATATATATATATATATATATATATATATATATATATATATATATATATATATATATATATATATATCTTGATAAAATCACACGGGAAAATGGAAACAACGGAGTACCTTAGCTTTCGTCTTTATTCAAGACATCTTCAGAGGCAACTAGATTACATGGACAGAGAGAGGCTTAAATATACAGGGTGACCTAAAAACATGAGGTCAGGTCATAATGATGACATCCACTAATCCCCACACCAACACAATTCTCCCGGCGCCATTTTTGTTGTTTACCTCTCAGAGACGTTTCCTATAAATGATGGTGAACGCTTCCACGTATTCCTCCTCGCCATTATTGATGTATATGAACCTCAATATTAAGGTAAAAGTTGTTTTACACAAATTAACACGATAATGCATAGAGCCTAATAAAAGGAAAAGTAATTAGACGTGACCGATCGCCCAAGCGGCTTCAGTGGTGAAGAGGATAAAGTAAATTAAACCTAACCCCACTCATTGTTTAGCACAATACGTGGGATTAATAAAAAATAATCGCCTAGTTTTACGTCCTAATTATGAAAATATCTACAGTTTTTTACAGACGAAGTATGAAAATTATCTAATAAATATTTGGGCGTTTGAATAAAGAGAGAAGCTAGTTCTTGTGGTATTTTCGGTGTTTGGTATGCGATGGTGTTTTCTTAAATGAATCATAACCTTTAATAAGTTAAGTAAGGTTTTGAAATGTTTGTTTGGTGACATTAATGTGTTTTAAATTTGTATTAGTCAATCAAGCCGCCAAGTCCTCCTCCCTATAAGACGTGAGAATTGACATAGTGTTGAGGTAAACAAAATGTCATCGGGGAAGAGTATGAAGACCTCCACGTAGGAGCTTGGTCCTCTGGCTACAGCTTTAATAATTGTTGTATTTATTGGAGGAGTGAGACTTGTGTTATGTTTACGAAAGATGAACAAATCTTCGCCAGAGAAATGGATGAAGGAATAATGAATGGCGGAAGGTGTTGTGTATGGCGGACACAAGTGAACAGTAATACTACACCGTCACTAACAAATTGGTAAGTAAAAATGTTGATAACTTTGATAATCTTTGGGTTGTACTGGGGGTAAAATTTGTGAGTGGGAACTTTGTGAAGTACTAGATAAATCATCGTTTGGTAATATGTTGCATATTTTTCAACCAATATAAGTTAGGTTAGGTTTGTTCTTGAGTTGAGCAATGTACTGGGATGTAGTGTGTTTTACACAGTTTTGAAGTAATACAGGTAAATATTCGTTTAATGGCTGTGGCTCCTTTTTGTTACGAGAATTCAACTTCCAAATCACTGTTGAAACCTAACCTCTATGTATTACCAATTAAGTTAAGGTGACCTTCATTTTTGGCGGAAATTGCTAGGTTCCCCCCCCCAACAATAGTGGGAGAGAGCCTGGGAAATTGAAGTTTATGGGTGGGGGAGAACACGAGTCATCTGGCCTAACAAAACCTAACGAAGTTTATGGGTGGGGGAGAACACGAGTCATCTGGCCTAACAAAACCTAACCTAACTCCTAGCAGGGTGGCTACGCCTCCTGACTCACACCACGCCTAGCCTGACCCCTAGCTGGGCGCCGACCCCCCTGTGTGGTGGTGTTGGTGTGCGGATTATTGGATGTCATGTTTATGACCTGACCTCATGTTTAGTAAGGTCACCCTGTGTACTTAGCCTCTCTCAGTCTTTGTAATTCAGTTGCTTCTGAAGATGTCTTGAATAAAGACGACAGCTAAGGTGCTCCATTGTTTCCATCATTTCCTGTGTGATTTATCTTATCCACATTTTCATTGTGGATCTACATGAAATATATATACCGTATATATATATATATATATATATATATATATATATATATATATATATATATATATATATTCTGTAAATCACAATGAAAACGTGGAAGATAAATGATAAATGGAAACTAACGGGTACAGCTACAAACATTCAAGATTGGACAGAGAGGCTTAAATACTGGGGTGACCTAGAGGTCAGGTCTGTGATCACTAATCCCACCAACACACGTAGAGGAGCTTAAGAGAGGTGGTGACGTGACTAGCCAGGTCAGGTCAGAAAAAGGACCCACAAATAACTATCATACATCAAGATCAAAGGTTTTCAAAGCATTTTTAACCTTGGCGGTCCACCAGCTGTAGTATTAGTCCGCCAATAGTAATCGTTTCTAGGGCTTAAATTCTTACTATTTTAGTAAATATCA